ATGCAAACAAACTTGTTTGTCTGGCTGAACAAGAAGTAGGACTGATTGGACTTGTAGGCTCTAAATTTTACATGGTTTTATTTTTAAATGCAGAGTTTTTTGTACATAATTCTACATTTGTAAGTTCAACTTTCATGATAAAGAGGTTGCACTACAATACTTATATTAGGTGAATTGAAAAATACTGTTTCTTTTGTTTTTTACAGTGCAAATATTTGTAATCAAAAATAAATCTAAAGTGAGCACTGTACACTTTGTATTCTGTATTGTAATTGAAATCAAAATATTTGAAAATGTAGAAAACATCCAAAAATATTTAAATAAATGGTATATCTTAATTGTTGTAGTTCTGATAGGAGTTCTAACTACATCCTCTTTACAGTTTGAGCCTTGCAAATAATTCTGTAGGCACAGTTGATGGACATAGGCCTGACCATCTAGGCTAATAGTTTAGAAATTCGGTACTCAGAATATAGGATTTGATCTTAGAATCATAGACTCATAGAAGATTAGGGTTGGAAGAGACCTCAGGAGGTCATCTAGTCCAACCCCCTGCTCAAAGCAGGACCAACCACAACTAAATCTTACAGGCAAACCAAGAGAGAAAACCGTGTGGCTTCAGATTTTAGTTTTGAGGGGTAAGATTTTATAATTGCACTGTTGTTGGTTTTCTGCTGTTGCCAAAGTGAGCTGATTGCGCTGTGTGAATTTTTCCCCTTCATGGTCTTTTGAATGCAGAAAGTGCTGGAGATACCTTTCTCTGTCATTTTAGTTTTTCTTGCTTCTATTAACTTTGGCTAATCTCCTTATGCTTAATATTTGATAATAGTTGATCAAACCATAGCTAAATGTTTCTTAAAGCTGTAAAATTTTGCATTCATTTCCTGCGATAGTTTTAAGATCCGTGTGTTTACATGAGTGTGTCTCTCTCTCTCTCTCATAGCAAGTGGTTCTCTTGTAATCCAGTACTGCCAGTGACTTTGTTGATGTGAGAGAGAAAGAGCCCCAGCTTGAGGATGTGGGTTGCTTTAAGGCAACTGTGGGAACACAGACAGTTCTTGTCAATCTAAGATTTTTGAGTCAGTTTGGAGAGATTAGATGTTGCTTTAAATCATCTTACTAGTAGTGACACTGCACCAAAAATCTCCTCTAATCTAATTAATTTCTCTGCCTCATCCCCGTCTCCAGTTTTTTATGCTACTAGACCCAAATCTGCTTTTGTCATCTCTTCGATCCAACGTTAATGCTCCTTCGCATATTAACTACCATTACTTTCCCTGTAGAACAAAAAGTTTGGTTTGTGCCACGAAGTTGGCTGATGCCTTTATTTCCGAATGATCGGATATAGGACCGCGTGGTACAGGGAACAATCACACATGACACTGGAACCTGCCAGGCCTCCATTTTGGCTCCCAGTATGTTTTATGAATATATTTTCATTGGAATCCTCCAGGTTAGCCTTGGCTTCTAATCCTACACACTTTCTTGTTTTTTAGGAGCTGTTTGAAAGATGTAATGTTTTAAAGGTTTTTCTTCGTTTGTTTTTAAGGGGAAAAAAGTAATACATTGAGATAATCAATAAAATTCCAGGCAGGCCTTATAATAGAGCAGTGCATTTAAAAATAAACATTGCATATGTCTATCAAGAACTCAAAGACCAAAATCCTATAGAAATGAAAACCATCTATTTTGGTCAATGTAACATTTCTTAATTCAAATAAAAGCCAGGTACTCTGTTAAAATTTAGCTTTAGCTCAAAGCCATAATGATTTTCTGAAATAATTATAAATGGCATATGATAGATTGTACACTGTTTTAGTATATATACAAATTTAATTTTAAAAAGTTAACCATGTACAGAGGAAAAGAACAGAAAAGGATGCAGATTGCATTATATTGATCATGTGTTTGAAATAATGCTGATGTAGTTAACATGTGTAGCTAGTAGGTCATATTTTTGCACACAGATAAGTACTTTCTATACACACGCGCACGTGCGCGATGTATTTTTCTCTCTCCACACATGCACAGAAAATTTATAACTTTGACATATGGAATAATTCAATGAATAATCAAGAAAGTGTGTAAACAAAAAACGGTCTTGAATAGCAACTTTCCAAGAAAGGTTAATACTTATATTAGCATAATGAATTTGGGGGCGTACACCAATGCACAATGCAGTATTTACGATGTAATTATCAACTTTGGATAGAAATGTACTTAGATTGTCTAGTACTTTTGTGAATGAAGCATTTCCTTTTTCTTCAGAGTTTGTTACATGCTAACATAGAGCTCAGATATTATGAAAGAATGTTAATCATAATTTATTTAGATGATTGTAGATACTACAGTATAAACTTGTAACATACACACACCTTTTGGGAATTAAGTATTTGAAAAGTAATAGAGATCTAAAAGAAATAACTTGCATTCCATGCCATTCAGAATTTGTTTGGACAGTTTATAATACAATCTTGTTATGAAGCTTCTCACCAAACTTTAGCTGTAGAATCTTGAATTCAAATAGATAATTTCAAGATGATTACAGTAAGTCTATTTGTACTTTTCACACTGAAAAATCATAGTAATATACATTCTTACATTCTGAGGGGCTGGGAAAGAGTAGGATTGTTGAAAAAACAACTGAAGAATGTGTAAGAAATTGTAAATCTAAAGTAGCAACTCCTACCGTAACTTATACCTTCAGCCACTCCCAAGTGTAAGTTAGAACAATTTAGACCCCTAAAGCCTACTTACAGACATATAACCTGCACCCTTTGTATGTCACATCTGAATTTGACCCCAAACATTAGTTAAATAAGTTACGTATAAGGTTTCAGAGTAACAGCCGTGTTAGTCTGTATTCGCAAAAAGAAAAGGAGTACTTGTGGCACCTTAGAGACTAACCAATTTATTTGAGCATAAGCTTTCGTGAGCTACAGCTCACTTCATCGGATGCATCTGATGTGAGCTGTAGCTCATGAAAGCTTATGCTCAAATAAATTGGTTAGTCTCTAAGGTGCCACAAGTACTCCTTCTCTTTTTACGTATAAGAGGTGCATATTAAATGCCTCCCAGTAAATACTACAAGACTGTTAGTACTATGGCTTTGTAATTTCCATCTTCTGAATGCCAGAGCTGCGCAAAGCCTAAATCCTGGGCTGTAAGGACTGTGTTATAATCAGGGTAGTCTGTTATTGCATCTGAGGACCTTTCTTCTGTAAAATTTTCAAATGCACCTAATAGGACTTAGGCTCCTAAGTCACTCTGCTACTTTTGAAAAAGCTATCCCTTGCCTGAGACATGGTTAGAAGAGTCTTGGCAGTTCATCAACCTCTGTCATCTGTTGTTGTGCATTCTTAAAGTCTAACCAAGATTTGGAGATGCATGGGAATGAATTGGCTGGGAATGAATCTGGCCATGATGGAAGTGTTGCTGCTAGTTTGGGGAATTCACAGAGAAAAGAAAGACTGCACCTGCACCTTTATCAATGTAGTTCTGAGCCTTGGGGTTTTGTTAAATTCTTTATGGCTTCTTGGTATGTAGATAATGATGGTCCTGTGTAGTGTCGTCTTCTATTAGCAGTTGGTCAGGGGGACAGTCATTTTTCCTCTCAAATGCAGACCCCTGTCTTTGCCATCTCCAGGCTGGGTTACAATAATGCACTCTCTTGTATGTGGCCCTTGAGGAACCTTTAGGTGCTTCATCTTGTTCAGAACACAATGGCTTGTCTTCAAATTCAGGAAAGTCAATATACTTAGCTACATTGTCTGCACTGTCTACCTGTTCATTTCATTTTTAGGCCTTGATGACCATGCTGTAAGTCTTAGAAGGGCTAGAGCCCTGTTGTTTAAGTGTCTGTGTTCTTTCATGACAATTGGGGTCTGTTGGGTTGTCTTGCCTCTCAGTGCCTGGAAATCAGTGGCAGAGTTCTCACAGTTAATGCTCCTTTTTCAAACTTACTTTTCATCAGAACTCAAATTTACCAAGCTTCATATCATACACCAAAGCTGCTTTGGTCAGTCATGATTTTGACTGAGCGTTACTTTGTTTTTGATATCTACCTTTTTTTGTTCTTCTTCTTGTCTTGGATTGGATGTCTTTAATGAGGGTGGTTTTATGAATGGTAGGACTGTTATATTTAGTTTTGAGCTCAGTATTTTTCTATTAATTGTGCTGCCCTTGCTAACCTTTGTCATGAGCACTTTATCAGATCATAACTAAATCTAGAATACTATCCAGGTCCATCTTCCTACAATTTCCTTGCCAAAGACTGTCAGTTTCAAATTGATACAAGTTATTGTCACTTTTAGATGCTCTACCCTAGCCAGGAATATGGTTTACACTCAGCAGCTATCAGCTACAAGTGATTTTCATTTATGGTGGGTGAAGTACTGGTTGACCCAAATCCTGTTAATACAGAAAAATCTTTTTTTCAATACACTAAAAAAAATTGCCTTGGGCATCACATGTTTGTATCCTCTAGCTGCCTGACAGGTTCACAAACAGTGTTAGCTAGCCCTGGAGCTGCATCCTGTGTGTGCAGACTTTACTGAAGAAGTGTCTTAAGAAGGGATTTTAATAAGGAGAGGGCAGGAGCTTGGCACACTGAGATTGAGAGGAAATAGTATAGGAGAAGATGCAAAGCCAGGATTGGAAGAATGAACAAAATGAATGGTAAAGTTGATTCTCTGGTGGAGTGAAAGGGAGGGCGAGTGGGTACTAAGTTTGGAACTCTGCCTTGGCCCTCAAGCAGGCTTTTCTTGCTGGCTGCTGTGGCATTGTTGCCTCCATCCAAACTTTGGCCAGAAGGAAGCTTTTCCCATTTGTGTGTGAAGGCAAAGGCAGGGTAAAAGAGAGAAAGAGAATGCTAAAGTGCAGATGAATGCTGATGGGAGGGGAGAAAGGGAATTCTACTAGCTTGTTCCCTATCCTAGCTGACAGTCTGATCAAAGAAGTCATACGAGAAGTGTTTTTCCATTATTTTTTTTTAATTTAAGATTATCCATGATATGGAGGCCCAAATCCACAAGCTGAGAGAAGAGCTTATTCAGGTAAATGCTCAGCGGAAGCAACAGTTGGTAGAGCTTAGTCTTCTGCGGGAAGAAGAAAAGCAGCGGGCTGCTCGGGATCACGAGACTGCAGTGAATAAGCTTAAAGCAGAGTCGGAAAAGATGGCCTTAGAGCTGAAAAGGACACATGCTGCAGAGACAGAGATGACATTGGAAAAGGTAAGAGATTCACATGATGTTACTACACAAACCTGGCTAGGTCATAGCAAGTGAGGGACAATGTATCCGAAGTGACACACACTATAACAAATTATACAGATCAATAACAGTTGTGATGTCACTTAAATAAAGGAAACTGCTACCGATCAGAATTTGTCAAGTCCTGTGGCATTTAGGGCTGGAGGGGCTCAGAGTTTTGAGGTCCTTGAATGAAAGGCTTCTATGATAACAAAATGCTGATTTCATGATGATAATTACTATTATTTTGACTAGACTTCTTCCCCAGCAGAGTGCCACACTCTAACACAAGTAGCAGTAGGATCAGAACACCAATCTAGTATACAGTAGTTTATGGAGAGGGAAATGGTAGACCAGAATAACAGCATGACTTGAAATGCAGCTTCAATCCAGGATGGGGTTTATCACTTCTCCTTGATTAGGACGGGGTTGACAAGGGAGATCCTACTTTATTAATCCATGTACTTTGCTCTGTCAAAATACAGTTTAAGGGGAGATCAATTTTGTGGGGTGGGGAGGAGGGAAGGTTGGGTAGAGGTGCATGAAATGTTTAAGTATGTGGATTAATGTTTTAAAACACACTGGTGCTTTCTCCCACCTTATGCTCAACCAGTTCATTCACAGTATGACTCAGTGTATGGATGTTTTTGGCTGAATGTTGACTCCTTTTTATAGGGTTCACTTTCATTCAGCATTGGGTAGGTGTTTTTGATACAAATCAGCAAGATTTGGAATACTTAAGGAAAGGAACACACAGAAATGGAATCTGATAGAAGTGTGAAAACCTCACGGCTATGTGATTTAGAAATAAAAATGGTTAATTATATGTTATGATACTAATATTTTAGAAAACTGTATTCAACAATCTCTGGACATTTTAAATAATGTAATGCTTAAAAAGATGGTATTTTGAATTTCCTCAATATCATTTTTACAAATTCTTTTTAAAATTGCTATGTACGTTTCTCTATTTCCTGTCCTTTGGACGTATTTATGTGATCGCTTACCAGTGTTGTCAGTTAACATCATCACCATTTCCCTTAGGATGTTGGTTCGTTGGCACTAAGGAACTTACATATACATATTTCAGCTTTCCTTGTATCCATTTACTCATCTGAGATTGGATCCAACCTCTATGTCCTGGGTGAAATCTAGACTGTTCATGGGAGTGGTCCAGTTTGTTTGGTGCTGCACAGACTGAATCACAAATCTTGAAGATATTCAGTTCACAGTACTGGTGACTGTACTTCCAAATTAAAGCAGAATCTTTCATATCTTTTGCCAGTATGTAGTCATAAGAACCAAGTCAGAAAATATATATTGCTAGATATTTAAGTATACATAGGAGTAACACTGAAGTCTGAAATTTTCAAAGGAGAGAAGCTAGGTGACCAAGTTTCAATGGGATATGGGTGACTAGCTTCTTTAAGCTCCTTTGCACATCCCAGCCTAAATATAGAGCCTGATCCTGCAAACAGTTATGCATGTGAGTAACTTCATTCAGGTCCATTGCAGTCAATCTGACTATTCATATGATTAAAGTTATTCATGTGCATGTTTGTAGGATTAAGTGTTTAATGCAGATGAAGTAGTAACTAATGAGCCTGGCCTTTTAAATAACTATGGCTCTGTTCCTTTAAACACTTGTGTATGTGCTTAACTTTTCTACTGTGAGTAATCTCACTAAATTGTCACTTATTTGTGGTAGTATTGTTAAGCTTGTTGATAAGGGTTTGCAAGATGAGTCTTATTCTGTAATGAGGTTTGTTTTTTTATTGTTTTAAAAATATCACCATTATTGGATTCTTATTTAGTAGGAATAAATTCTTACCTAGGCTGCTGCAGCTTTTAATGGAGTAATCAGCATACAGTTCTCTAGAAAAGATCACCAGCCTTTAAATTTTATTTTATAATATTTTCAGTTCCTTAGAAAAGAAAAGAATTGTCATCAAAGGACATGTTTAAACATTGTGCTAAACTAAAATGAAAACTACTTGAAGTTTAAAATAGGCCATTTGTGTATGTAAGCATACAATTGTTTTAAATATTTTAACATGTATTAGTGTGATAAATTCCACATTTTATTACAAAATGATATGCAGCAACAAAAAATAAGACTATGCATATACCGTTCAAACTGTCTTTTTGTTATATTGACATTTCATTTACCTGCATCAGGTTCTTGGTCTGTAATTTTAAACAGCATTCTGAGGATTATGTTGGAAATCTGCCAGCCTGAAGCCATTAAATGGCTATGATCAACAATTCAGAATCTTTTTTTGAATTTAAGGAAAGCTCCACTTGGCATAATTATTTAAAGCCAAGGTCACAGAAAGTATTTAAACCTTTGAAATTCATAATTAAAGGATTAATATTAACTCATGAAGACGTTGTCATTTTTGCTTAAAAATGGAATTTGAATCTCAATTATTTTCTTTCTTTGATCTTTTTTTACATTAATAGTATAGCAAAAGAAAAAAAGTTAACTTCTTTACATCCCCAAATTAAAGTTACAAATAATCCTTAAACACTTCAGAGGAAAATATATTTAATAGTCTTGAATCATCATTACTGTCAAAAATATTCTTTTTAAACTTTCAGTTGAATTTTTTTCATTTTCCAAATAAAATTACATGTAGACGTTTCTAATTTTAATTTACATTAGATGGCATTAAATTTTAAGGGAATATTTTTATCATTTAGCCTATTTTCTTCATTTCTAATTTATGATCAGGAGATAATGTGCTTGGGGCGCGGGGAAACAAAGACCAAAATTATTTTTTGAGGAAAAGAAGTTTTGCATATTCCTGTGCAAGCAACCATGAACTACCTCTACTCATTCTTACCCTATTTCACCTCTTTGCACATCTCCCAAGCTCAGGGCTCTGCAAAGAGGCCACCAGGTCCCAAAGGAGTTTGGAGGAGATCTCCATTTTCAGCTGAAAAGTGAAAATGATAGTGTTTACTGAACTGAAATGAAATTTTGACACAATTGAAGTCAAGTGGGGGTTTGGGATTGGAGATCTTTTTATAAAAGAAAAGAAAAACAACTTTAATAATAGCCCACATGCTGCTTCTTTTAAAAAGTAACTTTTCTTCTGAGGTTTTGAATTTTTTAGCAAATTCTTGTTACCTTTAAGTTGTTATGGAAGAAAATGAAAGGAAAGTTTGTTTGTTTTTGTTCATGTTTTGTCTTCTAAGGTTTATGTTCTTCCATTTACTTGATTATATATGGTGCCAGGAACTGCTAGGTGAACCTCAGAAGGTTTCGTGGGTCTGGTTTTGGTTTGGAAAAGATCATATGAACATCCAAACCGTCAGAGGCTCATTCCTTTCCTAGGGGAAGGTATTCATTCCCATGTGGCCTTATATACTGTGCAATATTGATTTCTCTGTGTGTTGGTTTCAGGGGTTTATGGATTGGCACTCACCTGATCAGGATCACAATAGGAAAAGTTTTGTAAAATTTCAGTGAAGAAGACCTTAAAGAAGAAAGAGAATTTATCGAGGCATTTCATTCACATACTTTTGCTTTCTCAGTAACAATGATGCAGAATGGGGAAAAAAGGGTCTAAGAGAATAAGTTTTATTGATAGCACCCTGCTCATGAGAATGAACAGATGTGATCCCTTGTAATGAAACATGTGGGATTAATTTGATGTTGCTTGCTACCAGGAAGATTTTCATGTAGAAGAGATGTTACGTTCTTTATTTTTCAGGCTCCTCTTGCGGATGGATGATTAATTGATACTTAAGGTCCATTGAACTTTGTATTGCAAATTGCCAGGCTGGGAATTAATGAGATGTTACTGTTCAAACCAGACATGGATGGTAAACTTAAACAAGCAGGGGATTTTGCCAGTTTCTCTGTATTGATTAAATGGGGGGTGGTGATGGCACTTTATTAGCATAGGGAAGGTCTAAATACAGATTATATTAGTTTGTACATGGCAGGCCCTCATATGTAATTCTGATTATGTGTTTTTTTTAAATGATGCCCTCTATAATTAAGTAAACATGTTTTAGTTTGTTCGGGCTGTATAGATTTTGGTATTTCTATTACTCAGAGTCACATACAGTCTCATCTTACCTTCCAAGATAAAGAAATTAATATTTTAATTTCAGTGTATTTTAGAAGTATTTAATTCATGATTAGAGTATTTTAGCCACTGATGACTATAGGGTTGCTCAGGAATAGTACTTAAGTGAAATTTTAAACGTGGGAAGCTGACAGTAACTATCTGTTTATAATTATTTCATCTTAAAATTAGATTAATCAATAGGAAGGATAAAATATTGTGCTTCCTGGAAAAAGTCCTTATCGGCAGCCAGATGAAACTGTGTAACCCACATTGTAAAGAAAAGAAACAAGTCACCTGTTATGGAACGAAAAGGAAAAAAAAGTCCATACTTCTCCACTGACCTTACTCTGTAGCTGGCATTATTTTCATGTAACCCCGCTGTGAGGTGTTTTTCCGAAACCTGAGCGACTAGAGATGTAAATGTTTTGGAACTGGCTTACCATCTCTATCCCAGAGAAATCACAGCTCTGTTTGACATTTCCATGCCTGTTCTCTTTGGGGGAAATTCTGCTCTATGCACTATTAAAAGCACTGAATAGGGTGCTTTGCATTGCCTGGGGTTTCCTGTCAGTGTGTCTGCTGCAGCACCCTCCATCTCTGCTCCTTCCTCTATAACTGGCTCGTTCTACTGATCATTGTGAAGGAGTCGAGAATAGCATAGCTGAAGTCTATAGACTTAGAATCACTTACTTTGCATCCTTGTGGCGCGGGATCGACGGCCGCCGCTCCCCCGTCGACTCCGCTTCCGCCTCTCACCCTGGTGGAGTTCCAGAGTCAACGGCAGAGCAATCAGGGATCGATTTATCGCATCTACACTAGACGATCCCCGATAGAGCGATCACTACCCACCGATCCGGCAGGTAGTGTAGACGTGGCCTAAATTTGTAAAACCCCAGCACA